GCTTTCTTCAACCTGTACACCTTATCTTCACTTCCTTGTTTCATGAATCCAGGAGGTTGCTTGACATATACCTCTTCTTCAAGTGGGCCATTTAGAAAAGCTAACTTCACATCCATTTGATGGATTTTCCATTGATTTTGTGCAGCCAGACCAACTATAAGTCTGATGGTCTCCATTCGAGCAACAGGAGAAAAGACTTCTTGAAAATCATAACCAAGCCTCTGCTCAAATCCCTTTGCCACCAATCTCGCTTTATACCTCTCTACCTCGCCATTTGACTTCACCTTTGTCTTGAAAACCCACTTGACATCAATTGCTTTGTGAGCTTGTGGAATATCAGTGAGAACCCATGTATTGTTCCTTTCAATGGCCTCGATCTCCTCATTCATTGCATTTACCCATCTAGAATCTTGAATTGCCTCCTCAAATGTCACCGGTTCACTATCTGCAAAGAAAGCAAAGTGTACCAATTCTCCATCATCATCAACTTCATCATCAAGAGTTACCTCGTAATCTTGCAAGCACACTGGTGGTCGGCGTTGTCGCTGTGGCCTTGTAGATTCTGTCTGGGCTTGCGGTGAGGAGGTTTCTTGAGCAGAGCTTGAAGAGGCTTCTTCGTTTGTGGTGGGATTTTCAGTTACTTCTTCAAGAACAGAAATAACTCGATTTTGAGGACCCTTATGGGTATCAGCATCCCATTTCCAAGCTTCTTCTTCAGCAAATGTTACATCTCGACTGACAATCACCTTCTTTGTCTCAGGATTGAACAGTTTGTACCCACCACGCTTGTAGCCAATAAAAACTGTCTTCTCAGCTCGATCATCTAGCTTTGTCCTTGTCTCTGCGGGAATATGAGCATAAGCAATAGACCCAAACACCTTTAGATGTTTCACACTTGGCTTGAAACCACTCCAAGCTTCTACAGGGGTGATATTTTGGACACTCCTTGTTGGAGATCTGTTCAGCAAATAAACAGAACAAGAAACAGCTTCACCCCAAAATGAATTGGGCATTCCTTTTGCCTTCAGCAAGCTCCTCGTCATATCCATTATGGTTCTGTTCTTCCGTTCAGCAACTCCGTTGTGCTGCGGAGTGTAAGGAAAAGTGATTTCATGCTTGATTCCCTGTTCTTCACAAAATTTATTAAATTCATTGGAAGTATATTCACCTCCACCATCAGTTCTCAACATCTTAATAAGATGACCACTTTGCTTTTCAACATGCACCTTGAATTTCTTAAAGCAATCGAAAACTTCAGACTTTCTTTGCAACAAATAGACCCAAATCTTCCGAGTGAAATCATCAATGAAGGTGAGGAAGTACCTATTATTGCCATTTGACATTGTATTCATTGGGCCACACACATCAGAATGGACCAGCTCAAGTGGTTGAGTTGCTCGCTGTTGATGTTCTGCTGCAAAAGGCATTCTGTGATGCTTCCCAAGAGTGCAGGCTTCACATAACTGATCAGGATTATGTATACTGGGCAGGCCTTTTACCATCTGTCCTTGAGCAAGCAACTTTAAACTTTGAAAATTTAGATGTCCAAACCGCAAGTGCCAAAGCCAAGATTCATCTTTTATAATTGCATTGAGACAATTATAAGTTCCACCAGAAATATCAACTTGAAACATACGATTTTTGCTCAAGGGGGCCTTAATAATAAGCGTACCTTGCTTATCTAGAATGGAGAATTGATCATCACGCAGGCTCATAACATACCCCTTTTCAAGCAATTGGCCCACACTTAGCAAATTGCTCTTCATGCCTGGAACATAGAACACATCTGAAATGTACTTGTGATCTCCATTCTTCAAGTTGATAAGAATTCTTCCTTTTCCAGTTACTGGTATAGTTCTATCATCAGCAAATTTCACTTTTGTGCGAAAGGACTCATCAAGATCAGCAAATAGCTCCCTTTTGCCACTCATATGATTGGTACATCCAGTGTCAAGGAACCATGTGTGAAAGTTTGGTGTTTCACCAACAGCAGTGACCATCAGGAGAGCATGGCTACTGTCAGCATCATCATCTCCTTGTACACAATGAGCCTTTTGAGTATAATCCTTGTATCTGCACTCACTGGAATAATGGCCATATTTATGACAATTGTAACATTCAACATTGGATTTGTCATACCTTCCTTTGCCACGTCCACGACCACGGCCACGGCCATGGCCTCTTGAATTTTGCTGATAGCCAAAGTTTGATTTTTCTTGGTCATTGCCTCCTACTCCACGACCTCTGTTGAAGTAGAAGCCACGTCCTCGTCCTCTTCCACGAGAACCACCATGCTTTCGACTGGTTTCACCACCTTGATCACCTTGGATAGAGACTTCGCTTTGGAAGGCTTGCTCAATCGGCTTCTCTATCTGCTTCCCATTCATTCTTTGCTCATGTGCTTCTAATGAACCTGACAACTCATCAACTGTCATCTGGGACAAATCATGGGCTTCTTCTATTGCTGCCACAATGTGCTCAAATTTTGGTGTGAGTGTCCGCAAAATCTTCTCCACTTTGGCCTGCTCGCTGTACTCCTCTCCATATACTTTACTTTTGTTTGTCAAAGCAAGAACTCGATTTATATAAGTCGCAACAGGCTCAGAAAACTCCATTTGTAGGAGCTCATATTGATGTCTTAAGGTTTGGAGCTTTACCTTCTTGACTTTCTCCGCACCTTTGTATGCTGTCATCAGGGTATCCCATGCTTGCTTTGACGTAGCTGCATCTTCAATCTTCTCAAACACTTCATCATTCACCCCTTGATGGATGAAATATAATGCCTTCTTGTCCTTTTTCTTACTCTCACGGTAGGCATGCTTTTGGGCATCATTAGCATTTTCTGCAATTTCAGCAACTCCATTTTCCACGACACTTAGCAATTCGTGGTAAT